TCCACTATGTAATTGTGATATGACCAATCTATCCTTAATAAGTGGTCAAATTCATATATTTGACCACAATATGATCACTTAATTACAAGATTGCCACCACATGTTTGACTGATATTAGTAAAATTTGACTTAATCATGACCATTAGTTTGATAGATCCAATGGTCCACAATCATTCTTATTTCTTTCACTATGACCCTTTCTCATATGATCCCTTCTCATTAAATAGAATATAAAGATAAATAATTATATCTCATTATTTGTTCCAAAAATAATATAATTTTTTTATAGTTTTTTATTGTCAAACTTAGTTAATAATTATTTGTTACACTATAATTAATTGTGAAATTATTTTATTCTATTTTTTTATATGAAACGAGATGGGTAGGGTAAAGCTCAAATTTAAGACTCGGGTTACCCGTTTACTCTACGAAAACCCACCAACCCATCGGGTAAAACCCAACCTGAACCCAAAAATCACTAGCCGGGTAATGGGTCGAGTTTGATTAGGATAAATTATATGCGGGTCGAATTCATGTTTGCCAAAACCTATACCCAACTCGACCCATTTATATCCCTACACACAAATCTGTTAATTTAGTAGGTTTTAAATTAATTGAGCGGTTTCCTTTACCTAATAGGAAATACGCTAAATTAAAATATCTATAGAAGGTAAGAAACAAAAACCGTTGGGTTTGGAAACGCGTAGCTTATTCTTGTTTACTTGGAGCCCAATCAACACAATTTTCCGCCACATCACCTTCCAAATCACATCCGAAAATAAAATCAATCTCCCAAAACAGAGAAAGCCATGAACTCTCCTAATATATCTTCCGATTTCAGTACTGGCGTCTCGATAAAACAGAGCGAGTACCAGCAGAGATTGAAGTGGCTATCGACGGCCAGCAAAATCGTCCACCTCGTCTGGAAACTCGATTCCAACAACATCCGATGCGTAGCCGACGAAATCATGAGCCACGACGTTGTCTGGTGCCGCGGCCCTTTCTGCCAGGCCGTGATGCTCTCCCCATCTCTGACCACTCTCTACGCCGCCTTGGTGGCCGCCGTCAACTCCAGATTCCCGGACGTGGGCCTCCTGCTCGTGAAGCGCGTGGTTTTACAGTTGAGGACGGCTTACGACAACCGTGACAGGAAAAAGTTGCTGGCGGCCTCCAGATTTGTGGCCCAGCTAGTGAACCAGGAGGTCCTTGCCCTGGACGTCTTGCAGCTTCTGTTAATCGGACACAGTCACACAACAGTGTATGTTGCCGTGCGATTCTGCGCGGAGTGCGGGTCGTTGTTGATGGAGCGGGCACCGTACAGGCTGCGTGTCATTTTAATGGAGTTCCGTCTGATGCTGGGAAAGGGGTCGCTGAGCAGGCGGGCCCAGGTGTCGATTAAGAGGCTTTTGGGGGCGGCTAAGGGGAACAGGTTCAGGAGGTACTCGGAGGGGTTGGAGCTTATTGTTGAGGATGGTGAAGGAGTTACTCACGAGGTGTCGTTGTTGCATGACATTCGGGCCAAGTCGAGCCTCAACAGCTTTCAGTCGGGCCATGCATTCGATGATGAGTGTGAATTATTTAGTCGGATGAAGATTGGGGATGGAGATGGTGATGATAGTGGTGATGGGTCTTCTCTGGGATTATGATGGATATGAGTGAATATAAGATGAACAAATTTTATTCATGTATGATTATTAATACTGTACATCTTTTCTCTTTTTCCCAATTCCCATGTCTTGGCTATATGTAATATACTCAATGCTGCATGCTTATTGTGTAAATTTTCGTTTCTACTAGCATATCCACATATTTTCAGTTTCTAAATTTTCATATGTCCAATTCCTAATTTTCCACCATCTTCTGGCACCCGTCCATTAATTCCAATCTTTGAATTTCCTAGTCGTCATAAACTTTGTGTCCAACCAAACAGCGCCAATAATTGTTAATTTTTATATTGGTACATTCAACAGATTCTTGTCCTTCTTGATGAGCCCCTACGTGTGAAGGATAATTAAAAACATTTTGTTTTCATTATAAGCTCAAGAATACCTAAAACTCCTTACAAAGATGGGCAACATTACTGTCTTGGATGTCCCACAAGGATAGCTATGTTACTTTTGTAAATTTAAATTCTGTTTAATTTCGTGATCATGAAATTCATATATTGCTACCCACAAAATGAAGTCATGTAAATATATATACGGGTGTGCTATTGTAAACTATGTGGAAATTGTCATTACCGATGACTGCAAAATCGTCTCTTGGAGGCCTCGTCTTACACAGACCATTTCTCATATATCACAAATTTCTGCAAGCATAAATGTAGCAAAGTCATTAGTGAGTTATCCAAAATGGAGAAAGGGAGAAGGGCCGACTGTGAAATTTCGGAACAAAATAACTTAATAGCTAATCCACAACTAATGGCTAATTCTATTTACTAAACTTAGTTGTACAGATTTTTTTGTGGGAGACTAATTTCTATTAAGAAGTAAGTAGTAACATTATGCACATTCTAACCTCCAATCTCCCCGTTCAACGTTAAGTGAGCCAACTTTGTAACCCCGCCCTTCTCTACTCTAGTTAAATACAATGTCACCTTTTATTTTTAAAACTTCTAAGTTGTCTTATAACTTTGATAGTTGATGGCGAATTTATGTGTACGGGTCTTTGTTCCCCCAAACTTTTTACCTTTTACTCTCTCTCTATATATTGGATTTAATAAGGATACATTCTTAAAATGTGTAAGTAAGACTCATTCCAAGCACTAGATGGGTATCAAGATGTGTAGTCAAGATTTAACTCTTTATTTAAATAATATTTTTTTTTTATTTTATTATTTTGACCATTGACAGTTGACCATTGACTGTCGTCGTTGACCATTGACTTTAGTTGTTGATCTCTTTTTTATCTTGCTATGCATTATTATGTATGAAGTAAAAATGCACTTAGTAGTATGTACTTAATATGAAATATGCACCAACGATATCAAGTATACACAATTTATGAACTAAATATGAATCATGTATATATTTAACATAAATGATAACAACTGCGCATTATGGATGAACTAAATAGTTATTTGGTATGAACTAAATGTGCATCATGAATTAACTAAATATGTATGCATATATTTAATTTAAATATAAAAAATGTGTACTATGGATGAACTAAATATGCATTTCGTATTAACTAAATATGCATCATGAATGAACTAAATATGCATCATGCATATATTTAATTTAAATATAAGAAATATGCACTATGGATGAAATAAATATGCATTTCATATTAACTAAATATGCATCATCAATGAACTAAATATGCATCATGAATAAACTAGATATGCATCACGTTGATCAAATTTGACTTATCTGAAAAACGTGAAGCGGTGCTGGGAGAGGATCCTCCTCCCCTTCTTCTTCTTCTTCTTCTTCCAATTTCTTCATCTTATTACACAAAAAATTCAATATATTCGATATATACAAATACAACAACGTTGATCAAATTTCGTGCATCAACACATCACTATATATTTAATTTAAATATAACAAATATGCAATATGGATGAACTAAATATGCATTTTGTATGAACTAAATATGCATCATGAATTAACTAAAATATGCATTATTATATATTTAATTTAAATATAACAAATATGCATTAACTAAATATTCATTATTATATATTTAATTTAAATATAACACATATGAACTATGGATGAACTAAATATGCATTTCGTATGATCACGAATGAACTAAATATTCCTTATGAAATAAATATGAATTTCTTATTCTCAATTAAGTATGCATTATTTTATAACTAAAATATGCATGATGTATTAACTAAATATGCAAAATAAATAAATTAAATGTGCATTGATTATGTAATAATATAAAGACTGAAGGGTCATATTGTAATTATTCAAACTGTAAATAAATTACATATTGAACCCAAGGATCTAATTGCAATAACTCTTAAGTTTTTAAAATTGCAACTAAATCCTTTAGGTTTATCTAATTTCCAAAAATTGGCCCAACCTTAATCTTATTTTGTAACGACCTCAAAATTTTTCTTATTNTCCTTCAACCTGAAAAATAGTTTTATATATAAAAAAAAAGGGTAAGCCAAAAATGCTTAGTGTGGCATAACATGTCACCTACAAACATTATACAGTTACACGATGGAAATATTATTGCATGACAGTGAATTTCCAACATGTTTTACATAGAACTAAATCCACGGAGTACTCGGTCATAATGTCATTGTGTAGCCAAAGAGGCTTTCAGCCCTTAGGCAATTGAATACGGAGATCACATAGGTAACTTGAAAGTAACAATAAAACATTCATAAGAGACATGTACATGAATTTTTTTGTAAGAATAAATCCCACCTTGTGATGAATGAGGGATGATAAGTATGATTTGAAGGAAGACATACTTCTCAGTATAATCCAACTCTACAAATGTGAAATAGTCTTGGATCAATGCGATTTTTACACATATAAAATAGATGAAGGATCTTAATATTAATTAATAAAATAGATAAATATAAATCTATGTATATAAAATTCATAAAAGGTAAAATAAATAAATTATATATATATATATATATATATATATATATATATATAGGGTCGCGCTCCGGTGAGAATGATGCTCAGTGAAAGAAATAAAAATAAATTTTAGCCATTAGATCATATGATCCAATGACTAAAAAAAATTTCAATTTTTACACTCATTAAGGATAATGTGGTAATATATACTCATCCATCTCAGTGGGACCCACCCCACATCAATAACTTGCAAACCTACCCGTAACACACGCACAGTCAAAGCCTATCATTATCAACACCAACAACCTACCCTCTCTCTCTCACACACACACACACACAATGGAGACGCACGCACGACAAACATTCAATCACGGCGGAGCACCGCCACGACCCCTTCACCGGCGTCATATATACTTCCTCAGCTACATGGTTGTCCCGGGGCTGAGATTGCCGGCGACATTGACAGAAGGAGGACCGCCGTCCGATGCCGCCGGAGTCCACCAATGTGACAAGGAAGCCAATCGGCGAGAAGCCAACCATCGAGAAACTCCCTCCAGCGCATGCACCTTAGTGCCGCCCGTTGCCGCCCATCATCACCATAGCGCCGTCCGTCTGAAACTCCGACCAGCCCCGCACTTTCGAAATTCATATCGAATCTCCCCAACTCCGCCATCCGCCCACACTTCATCGTTTAAAATTTCAACCGCCTTCTCCCAGTTGCACCTCCGCCCATTTCCGTCCATTCGAAGAATCAACCGCACCTCCATCGTTCAAAGGTTCAGCCGCACCTCCGTCCATCTCTGTCCGTTCAAAGGTACGACCGCCACCTCCGCCCGTTCAGACTACCACAATCGACGGCGTTCAGCCACCAGTCTGCCGTCCATTCACACATAAGAAGAACAATGATAAACATGAAGAAAGAAAGAAAGAAAGAAAGAAGATGAGGAAAAATATTTAACTCTAGGATGGATTGTGAGTGAAAAGAAGTCATAGGGTATTTATACTAAATCATTGGGGCTAATTTAAGAAGGTGAAATCAAAAAGGATTTTGAAAGATGCATGACTATGGTATAATATAAATTGAAATCAATCTTGATCCATAGATTGCCCTTCCTAAAATACTTGAAAGGAAGAATTAAGTTAAAAATTAATAAGTAAAAATAAAAACAAAAATTAAAACAAAAGTTTGGAAAAAGATAAAATAGGGAGATAATATGAGGGTCATTACATTTTTCTTCTCCTCCAGCCCGCTCGGTCACGGCGGAGACGAAGACTGGAAGACCTCTCGTCGACGGCGGCGCAGGCAGAGATGCAAATATCATTTAGAGCAGTGTGGATCTGGACGCACTTAAAGTCGATATTCGTTGCTGGAAAACGGAGACGGTCGGCCGTCCTTGAACAACAGTGGATGCTCGAACTGCCACAGGCTGATGTCGTCCTTGGACGGCCGAAAAAAGGGGGACGAACGGCCGTGGACGGAGGTTGGGCTGAGGGTCGGGATGAGGTCGCCGGACTGGAGGAGGCACCCGGATGAGGTCACCAGACTAGACGTTTTCAGGCTGCACGAATTTTTGGACCGTGACTAAATTTTTGGACTGTCCACCTGCTGGACGGACGTGCTCCTGTTGGCCGGACGCTCCCACTGGCCGGACGTGTATGGATGGCGTGGATGGCCGGAAGATAGACAATTATTTTCTATGAATTTTGCCGGTCAACGTCAGCTGATCGTAGGTCAAATTTATTTTATTAATTTATTTAATATATAATTGATTTAAATATAATAATTATTTTTTATTATTTAATTAATTTATATTTTAATAATTATAAATAATGTCATGCCGTTAGTGAAATAAAAATAGAAAATAAATTTCTCTCCAACGACTTCAACATCTGACTTTTATGATGCCCAACGTTGTAAAAACTCGAATACCTTGCATTCTCCCTCGTTCGGGAGAACCCATGTTTTTGATTTTGGATTGCTGAGGTTTTCAATCATATTTTTCACTCAAAACCATTCAGGTAAAGGAACCCACTGTT